CGCTAATATCCCACCCTTCTATCCACTCTCCTCAACAGTATCATGGAAATGTCGCCAAGCAATCTACGTTTTGCCACGCCGATACTAATGGAAGTGCCTCATTTTGCCGCGGTACAGGGTCGCGACCGCGAGATTCTCATTCTTCGTTGCGACGGCGGTGAGGTTTGGAAGGCTCATCAGCTTGAGGCCACAGACCAGGCTGTTCAGGATTCACTGGGTTTCGCTTTCGGTAAGTTGCTATAGTCAGTAAAACAACCGACTTGCCTCCACTTACAAGTCCCACCCCCTTAGGAAAGCCTTCCAAGAGCCTTGCCAAAAGATGTCATCTGTGCTGTTTGTCCTCACCACCTAAGGCATTACCTTGTGCCCATTATGTTGTTAAATACGGTTTTTACGACGTCCAGTAGATGTATGTAGATAAGGTGGCATTAACAAAGACAAGAGGACCGGAGCGGCCATTTCTAACTTAATAACTGTTGTCAGTCGGGCATAATCAGTCCCGGGTGCACAACATCTGAGATTCGAACGCAGAATCCCCGGTCATTGGGTTGAAAGCCCTATCATTTGAGCCACAGGCTCGTTGTCCGGTGGGTTGTGATCGGGAATATTAATGATGACAGAGTGGCTGACCGATGATGGCTAATAAGTCAGAAATGGCCGCCCCGGTCTCCCTTGCCTTTGTCAGCATATCTTCCTCTGCATATGCCACTAGACGCCATGCAAGTGTTTGCGAGGGCTCTTGCCTGAGGTCCAAAGCACAGCGCAACGAGCATGTCCTATAACCCGAGCGGTAAACGCACACGAAAAGGCGCACACGGAACCACTGAACTCTGGTAACGAACTAACTCGCAATGGCTAACATAGGTCATGAACAGGTAACAATCCGGGAGACTGGACTCGGCCAAATAGGAGCGCATTTCGCTGAATACAGTTTTGGGGGGTTACAACAACCTACATCGGAATTCTGTTCTAAAAAGGGCTGGGACACATGCTTACGAGAGGATCAGAACCTCCTTGACATTCCACATATTGTGATTAGCACACCAACTGTTAGTAGCATGTCTTCCATAAGTTGGGGGATCCTGTCTTTGGCATCGATGCAACTGACAAAAACCAAGGAGTACTTCGAAGTCCCCATCCTTACGATCCAGGTGGTCCTAGAAATTTTAGATTTGATTGGACTCCTGGGATCGGCTGGACCAAATTAATCCAATCAGGCGGGTATTGCTATCTTGAAGAATGTAAGGCAGT